ACTCGACTGTCTGATCCCCCTATCACCTTGCTGACTAGCAATATGCTTCTATCATACTTACTGACAATGAGTTCCACTCTACAATATTTTGAAGAAAAAACATGTAATCACAAGACGTGGTGACGACACACTCAAGTTTTTTCAACTTATATTAATGCCGACACCAACACAGGGACAGTACAATACTCATTTACACCTGAGCGAAGTGAGGAAAGTCGTGTAAAGTGCCTTTCCAAAGGGCACAAGATCGGTGGCATGTCAGGACTCGAATCCGGGGCCCCGAGTCGAGAACGCTGCCGCTGCGCCACACGACCCCACACAAAGTCCTGAGTTGATTACACTGATAAATGTTTGTAATGTTCGATAAAAGATGTCGAACTCACAGCAATCCGCTTCAGGAACACACTGGTCGTTGTCCAGCACAAATCCGTCTGGGCAGAAGCAGCCATCTTGAATCATGTCTTCGTCATCGCAGTAACCTTCAGGATTCTCGCAGGTTCGCTCACATGCACAGGACTTCTCTATCAGGCTTTCAGAGCAGTTCAATGCTGTAATTAATGAAGAGTAAACGTGTGAAACCTTCAAATCGGTGTATCTGACCGATAACCTATAAGTACTATATTAGTTTCTAAAATTCTACTAGAGTAAGTTATTTCTAAATGTATAATTTTAATGAAACATGTCAAACTTTCTTAGCTCCATAATCTGACACTTGAGTGATGAAACGTTGTACAATTGGTTTTTTAACATTGAAATCCCTACCTAACGACCCTATTTTTTTCAGGACTGAAACAGGAAACACAACATTTTTTCATAGACCTAATTAAGGAGAAAATACTAATGGAAACTCACAGCAATGCGGCAATTCTATACGCCAATCTATGCATATAGGCTCATCCTGGCGTCTGGACTCTTCAAAACAGGTGGTGACGAACGCTTCGATGGACTCGCACTCCGATATGCAATGGGCCACGTCATACCGACAGGCTCGACGGAAGCTCTCCGGATCCACAAACTTGAAGCAATCTTCCAGGAGCGAATTCAGTGTGGGGTTCTGAATGTCACATCGTATTGAGTCAGTTAGAGAAGCAGAAACACATTCAGACTGTTCAAACCGAAAAACTAACGCTATGAAAAACTTTTATGTATAGGTCTGTCTTTACCTGGAACACTTTTGCCTGATGGCGTTAAATGCGCTAGTAAGTGTAAGTTTCGGCAGGAGCTCGTGATGTATATCAAGGAGAGGGCCCAGATAAGCAAGTTATCAATCCTCAAAAATATATGTAAATGAATAAATAAATAAATGATATAATGTGGAACAGCACACCAGAGGATGCACAGTGTGCTCCATTAGTGAGAACTTTCAAACAAAGAATGCGGTAGTTGAGAAACCTGATTTGCGGACTGAGTTTTTGCGGACTGTGATTTTGGACAAGATGTGATTATTATGTTAGGTATTTAGTAATGTATTTTTGTATTAATTTGTATTTATCTATTTACTTATTGTGTTCCCGTGACTACCCCCCCCTCCTCAACTGGACCTCTGGGAAGAGCGGCTAAGGCCTACAGGGCATTTCCAGTATAAATAAAGGCGATTGATTGAATGAATGATTGATTGATTGATATACTACCACAAACTACCACAACACATCAAATCACTGTCAAGTACATCAAACTTTAAAAAAGCCATCCGCCAACTGTTCACACAATATGAGTCCTGTGATTAGAGTGTGAATTAGGTATCTTTCATTTGTACATAATGTAATAATGTAAATTTCCTCTTTATGTCATATGT